GACTTCAGAGAACATTTATTATTATATATTATACCAATAATTTTTCAAAATTGCAGAAAATTAATATGTCAGAAGATTCTATGTATTAACAGCTTTCCTAGACTATTAATAAAATACTAAATATTCTAACATTGAATAATATTAGAAATAATACAAAATAGATAAAAAATCATTTACGAAATGGTAATAATAAATAAAATATTTTTTAAAAATTTATATAGGTAAATATATGATTTGTATCATATACGCATTTCGTGTTTTTTTAATCATCCGGATTAATAGAGTCGTAAGGATGTCTTGAATAAAATCGTCTCCTAAAAGTGTCTATTGATTTCTTGACATAATCTTTACGCTCTTTTATCGATTCTTGAATTGTAGGCGAAGCATGTGGATCTAATTGATTAATAATACCTTCTGAGAATTTTTTCACCTAAAATAAAATATAGTTTGAGATGTTAATAATTAGCAATTCATTCTTATATAAAAATTTGATAAAATATGATTTTTAATTTAATACAATTTTAACAAATAAGTACATAATATGTACAAATAGCATATTTAAGTCGTTAGCTCCGGAAGTATTTGTACGTTCTAAAGAAATTGTCTTTTATTTACGGAAGATATGTAAAAATATTCTCATAAATCGACTGAATTATTAAGTCAAGATGCCTTAAGTCAAGATGACGATTATCTTGCAAATTTTTTGGATTTTTTTATTTAGATTATCGGTTTAATATTAATTTGTAAATTACAAAACTTTTGTTTATATTTTAAAGTACGTGTTATTCAACTTTCACTCAATTTTACAATGTAATTTTGCTCAAAAATATAAAAATAGAGTCTAAAAATGCAACTACCATTAATTATTAATATTAATTTAATTAAGTAAAATTGGATGAAATTTACAATTTCATACGAACAACGGTTTTTATTTGAAACGCGTCACAACTAAAACGTACATTATTGATAGAGTTAATAGATCGTTAAATATGCGAATTTAGTATTATATAAAATTTACCTTGTCAATTTGTTCGTCAGAATAAATATTTGAAAGAATCAATGTTATCATTACATTTGTAGTAAGTGATCTACAAAAAATATATTTATAATTAAGAAATTTTTATAATTAAGGAAACAGTTAAATATACACATTTATAAAAGTTATATTACTTGGGTTTTATGATCTCAAAATTGTTTAATACATAATCAAGGATCAAATCGTTGCGCGCATGATTCTCAATAATATACATAAAGGCAAGAGAATGTTCCTTATCGTGAAATAATGAAGTATTAAATGCTGTAATATTTAAATAGTTGATGATGATATCGGGATTTTCAGCACAACTCAAACTTTTCAATAATTTTTTTTGATATTTTTCCGTTTTATATGTTTTTTTTAGATATAATTTCAACATTTTATCCCAAGTAGCCTTATTGGCTGTCATCAAACCAGAACAGTACACAAATTTTTGCCATTGTGGAATTCTAAAACACATGTTTGTTAAGAAAAGATACATAGATTGTGTATAACCGATTTTCTATTTTATTCAATATTCGTATTTTTATGTTCTACATTTCTTATTAAGCAACCTTAATTATTTTGCGCGTAAAATTAAATTCGAGTTTTGTTCAACTTTCTCATTCTATAAATTTTATATGATACTAACGCGACCAAATAATCATCATACAACAGTGAAGAAATTAATGAAATTCCATCGATAATATAATATTACTTGTTAATTTATTATATACTTTCGCTTATACGCAACAATATATTTATTTTATGTGCATTGCATTATTAGAATAAGAATAAGGATTGAGAGAAAAAAGTAAGGAGAATATTTGATCTCAACGATTTAAAGAAACAGAGAATCGGCTATCTACATGCGCGCACGTACACATACACAAATACAATTTATAAGATAATCGTAAGAAAAATTACTTGTAGATTCTAGGATTCTCGAGATATTTGCTTAATTTAATGGCGGCCATTGTCTTGCAATTCACGTGACCGAAAATACATGCAAATTTTAAAACATCTACCCTTGTCACTATTGTGAGATCGTCATCATGAGGATTTTCTTCATATCCTATCTTCTGAAGTAATCTATCAAAGAGTTCTATCATGCGAAACTATAATAGAAATTACGAAATATTGTATTGGTTTTATAATGATTTATTGATATTTATGTTCAGATTTATATATATTATTAGTATTAATGTTTTATTAATACATTCACATTACATGAATGACAAATGAATTTGCGTCTTAGTTTTAATTTTTAATATATTATTACCTATATGTATGTAATTTGAAAACAAAATTCCAACAATTATCAATGTTAATAGATTTATTTAAATGTACAAGATATCACGGTAATTGGAAAAAAAGTGTCGTGCTGCGATAATTTATCGCAATTTCAGCGAAATTTCTCATTAGTTTTAACAGAATTCTATACTCTATAATTATTTTAATAAACTTCCAGCTGCTACTTTTTCAATTTTGATGTTATAATATAAAAAATATAGAACTTTTTTTTTTTTGGATAAGAAACTGTAGACCTATGAAAAATGCTACTAGAACTGTCATTATTTTTTTCTTATTAATAGAATATCGTGTTAATTTCACAAATACGAATAAATTTGGAATGTGAAATTAGCATGCCATTGTATCAATATAAAAAAAGAGTAATGACAATTCTAATGGCACTTTTATAGAAATGCAGTTAATTTGTGGTAAAAAAGAAAATGAAAATATCCTCAATATACTCGTATAGAAATGGAATAAGACATTATTGAAGACGGTTTTAAAATGAGAAAATTGAGAAATGACCGTCAATTCGACGATGTCGAACTGATAGTGATTATTAATAATACTAACCAAAAGATACTTTAAAGCATTTTTATTGTATTAATGATTATGCTAAGAATGTGTAAGTTAAATGCTTTTCAATTTTCATCGTTATTTCTTGCATAATCCTATTATTTTATGTGTGACCCCGGATATGGGGCACCATGGGTCATTTCTTAAAAAATATGTTTTTATTTTTTTTTTAAACTAAAAAATATTTGCTAAATATACTTATTAAATTCTAAAATATGCATTATGCTTTAATTATTAAAAAAAAAGATGATACAAAAATACAAATATTTAGATGCACTTTTAAAGACTTTTTAAGAGTTTGAACTTTTTTTTTGTAACTCATAATGCCCTGGTCTCTCCCATATGTATGTGTGTGTGTGTGTATGTGTGTGCGCGCGCGTGTGTGTATGTGTGGTAATGATTTGATAACGCCGTTACTTTTTTTTATTAATAACGAAAAAGTAACGTCGTTACAGCTTCTTTAACGAGTAATAAAACTGACCTCGTTATTCTTGTATCGTTACTTTTTTTATAAGTCACAAACAATAAGATTATAGGTACTAAATAAACAAAAAACTTTTTGCCTAGTTTTGTTTCATTCACGATCCCCGCTTTAGCATAAGAATACTAAAAACTAAAATATTTAGTATATAATAAGATACCATAAAATTAAATATAAGTATGTAAAATATTAATGAAAGGTAAAAATGTTCAAAGATAAATATCTTTCTAAATATTTTATATTTTATTTATATTCTGTCTTAGCATTCTCTGTCTTAGAAGTCTATTTTAATATTTAAACAAGTGTAATTTACCAATTTAGAAAAAGTAACGAAAAGTAATGATAAAAAATCGTTACTTTTTGTTACTTTTTTTTGTAATTATGCAGAAAACTGGTTTATTCATTGATTTTGATGAAATTAGGACAAATTTCCTTACTTCAATCAATTTTCACAATTAATCTCGGTTCATCGGGCAAAACGACACTTATTTTTCTGCCATCAAAAAACCCTTCTTCTGCATAATTACAAAAAAAAAAGTAACAAAAAGTAACGATTTTTTATCATTATTTTTCGTTACTTTTTAAAAAATGATAACGCGTACTTTAACGGTAACGCAATATTTTTTACCGTAAATAACAGTATTGATAACGCGTTACTTTTAAAAAGTAACTTTTTCTCAATATTATATAATTTAATTTATCTATATATAGTCAGATGAAAATTTATAAAATTAGTACATACAAAATTTTTTGGTTCATTATTATAATTTTGTACATTTATAATGAAAGATTCAATATGTAATGTTCAATGTCGAAGATAAAAAATTTACGAAGCAATAATTTAATATTTGACATTACGAAGAATATGTATGAACGTAGAACTGACTAAAGTATAAAGAGAATCAAACTGTAATAGATATTAGAAATATTCATCTTTACAAAAAATATTATTATCTACCTTAATATTTTCCAGTCCTGGTAGTAAAAGAGTTTTCTTGAACCGCGTTATAATTCGGAACAATGGATACCATGCCATATAATCTGTTTCTTGCGATAAGTAACTTATAATATTAATAAATAGATATCCACTTATTTCTTTATTTTCTTCCATTATAAAGAAAAATGCATCATTAATGATTTGAGCACGATTAAAGACGTGTATATTCTTGTATTTTCCACTATGTAAGTAATTTGAAATTTTATACCAATTTCTGATGTCGTAATTAACGCGATAATATCCTGCAACATCACCCATTATATTTATTATGAAGTCTTCAAGTAAAAATTTGTTATTATATTTAAAAATATTGATTATACCTTTTTTATAACAAAGAAATATTATATATATATATATATATATATATACTTATTATTCATATTAGAAAATAGTATAAAAGTTATAGATTAAAAATGATTTTATATTAATAATTAAGTCAGGTTTAAAATAATTTAAGCATATAAATCACCTTTAAGCTTTCATAAATATAAAAATCATATAAAGCTGAATAGTCATATTAAATTTTTGTCATAAATTCTTTTGTTATTGGCGAAAATAAAATGAAATTAAAAAGTAGAAAATATTTGTTAATCCGTACTTACCAGTTTGTTGTAAATTGACAATGATCCAGTCATTTGAATTAATTGTAAAGCTTATATTTTGATCTGGTCGTAACCAATGTCTGGGCACAGTATTAGAGAAATTCGGATTAGACTGCGTAGCGAAAGTCACGGGAATCCACCATTTATTAGTAACAGTTTCATTAAATCTCTGGAAACATATTTGTGATATTGTTACTTCACCAGTTTCATAATTTTTTTTCACGTTTACTATAGGATAACGGTCTTGATTCATCCAAGTATCCATGACTCCTTTTATTTTGTAATCTTTGTGCGGAACATTAGATTCATCTAGAGCACTTTGCATGGTGCTCCATAAATCGTCCGGAGTAGTCGATTTAAATTGGCTAAATTTGAAAAATGATTTGTCAAATGCTATATATACATCAAGAAATATACATTTACTATTAAAGTATCTACGTGAATATTTTATTTAATTTATAGATATACATGTAAAAACTTATATTTTAAATTTCTATATGTATGTATAAATTAAATTAAACAGAATAATATATTCTATAAATACTGAACATCACATTGTTATTTAATTATAAAACCGCATACTTTATTTTTTAATTATAATATAATTTAGTAATTAAAGTTTTTTCTAAGTTATATTTTAACTTAGAACTAACTCAAATTATAAATTATAAATTAAATAAAAAATAAAGTATGCAGTTTTATAATTAAATAGAAAATGTGATGTTGAGTATTTATATATTATATTATTCTATGTAAATTATCTATAAATATATATACACATATATGTTGATGACAATATGCTATTTTAAGATAATTAATTTATAAGAGAAATATGAGGAATATTATTACATTTATGCCTTAATATTGTGCTATATAATAATGATTTTAAATTATATTATTCAATACTTACTACGTAGCCAAATACTTGATAAGACCCTTTTGAAATACCTCAGCGGTAATTGTACTGTGTAACATGCGTAATAAAATTGGTGCTACAAAAATAAAATATGTATTAATAATACATTTAAAGCAGCCATATATTTATAATATACATAAGTTATAATATACAATGTAAATACCTGGGAGAAAATGTTTTATATATTAATATAAAACAATTAATATTAATATATAATTTTATATAATTGTATATATAAATAAACATATTTTTTTATATAAATTTATATAATTATATATAAAACATTTTTTCCCGGGTATGTATATTGTTCACAAGAAAAATTTATTTGCTATCCAATCAGAAATTATAATAGATTCAATGTCGATTCCATTATTATTTCTGATTAGATATTAGTCTTCATTTTATCTGTTTCTTTATATTACGTACATTAAGGAATCTATGAATAATATTTTAATCATATTTACATAATCCTATACTATAAGTTCTATATACCTTTTACATAAACTTCAGTAGAAAATAGCGAATAATCCTCAAGAGTATTGTTAAGTTTCAATGTGACAGAGTTCAATGAGCCAATATCTTGAAGAAGACAATATTGATTAAACCCCATTATTAAAAAATTTACCTGAAAATTTCCAACTGCACCAAACTGCAAAAAAAGTTCTATAATGTGACTCAGTATTAAAAATTTAAATCAAAGATAAAAATTGATTGATTTGCTGTTTCTAAAAACTTTTCTATTTTACTTTTATAATACCTAAATTATATTATGTTTCGTGTCAAACATTTCCCAAGAGAAAAGCATATATAGTTTGAATATTTAAAAAAATGTTTTAAAATTATTCAATATAAAAACAAAATCAATAATATAAATACAAAATATTGAAGTTTATTATTTTTTTAAATATTGTAAATATGGCGGATGCAGAAAATAAAATATTTTCAAATTCTAATAAAACTTTTCTTCTCTATTACAGCGTCCTTAATTACGATTCCTGAGTATAAATAGTGTTCAAATATAAAAAATTAAAAATAGCGGATCTTTAATACGACAAATATAAAAAAAAACGATGTATCTTTACATTCTAATAAAAATTTGTATTAAAATGTTTCACAATTGTAGATTGTACAAGAAACGTATAATCTTTTTATAACTTTAAATTAAACACGTGCTATCTTTCTTTCAGTTCCATCTTGATATTTTTTATGAAATTTCATATTTAATTGTATTTAATATTGATATAATTATTTTAAGCTTAGATTATAATGTATTTCAAAATTTTTTTTTAAAGGGCAACTATGTATGTATAATATATTAAATAACCTTGGATAGATCAAGGAGATACGATTGGAGGAACATAGCAAGTCCCTCTTTTAACCACTGGTAGGACCACCAAGATGGAGTAACCAAATTGCCAAACCATTGATGTATAATTTCATGTGTTACTATCATCGCTGTTCCTGTTTTCTTATACCTTGGTTGTTTTTTATCATCATAGAAAATTCCTGATGCTTGACTGAAAGACAGAACGTAACATAATAAATTATATAAAATATATCTACGATAAATTTGCAATCTAATATATGTAATGTCATTGTGACCCTTTGACAACATCATACTCTAACAGCACAGACTTCCACGCGACATCCATAGGACGTCCATGGGACATCCTCAGAATGTATCCCGTATAAAGTGTGTTATTAGGGTAGTGACATGATAATTTATGTAACTTATATTAGTCTATTGTAATGTGAATGTGATATTTTTTGCTGTGAATGTATGCATTTTATAAGTATTTATGAAAATGCACATGATTTAAATTATTAAAGTTTGAATGCTAAGAGAAACAATGACTTGAATAATTCAATTAATTTCGTTTTAATTATATATATTTATATTACCTATAAATGATAAGTCCCCAATTTTCCATGCCATGAATCGGAAAATTCGGTATTATGACGTGATCCATTTTTGGTACTTTTTCGGAACTATTGGTATATTCAATTAAAAGCGGCGTGATTCTTTGAGCAATAATATGCGCTAAGTTTACTTGCGATGCCAAAGACGAGTTACACCAAATATTAATGGTTTCGTTCGCGTTGGAAACACGGGCGAAACCAGATTGTACGGGGATTATTACAATCGCCACAAGATAAGTGGACATTATAGGAGTAGTGTTAAAGTGTGTCAGTATCAAGTCACCTCTTTGCCATTCCTGTCGTATTGGCATATTTGACAATACTATATGATTCTCATGATGCATTACAGATATGTTAAAGGTGGCTTTTAACGCTGGCTCGTCCCAACATGGAAACATTCGTCTGGCTCCATTCGGCTCAAAATGCGTTGCAGCCACCCACCTACAATTTAATCAAATATTTTAAATTTTAGTAAATTTACTACTTATGTCAGATAACATAAGAATTTAGAAAATACTAGTATTTATTATTATATATTATAGGATAGACCCAAAAGCGAAACGGATCACAGAACAAATATGTTTTTAAGTATAATTATTATATGTTTAAACAATGATTTATCAAGCCTTACATGGTAACAATAATAAAAACAAAAGAATTGTAAATAATATTTAAAATTATATTCATAATTACATTATATAAATATTTTTAATATTTTAATATTTACTTACATTTTGTTTCCTTCTTTATTTGTGTACGGAAATTTCATGAAACCAGTTTGTACAAAACCAACTTCAGATAGAATACCAGTAAATTTCAAGTTAAGAATGTAAAACCCGGGTGATAATGTATTTTCGAAATTAAGTGTTAAAATATTCGTTACATTGTCATGAATATGTTTCATCGGTTTATAAACTGTACCCTTGTCATTAATCAACGTTGTCGCCCTTTCATTTATTTCTAATTCTCTTGAGTGTAAGTTTATATTTTGCGATGCATGATAAATTACGATTTTGACATTAGATTCGCCGTGAAAAGTAGAATTGTCTTCCTCGAGATTCGGTGTCAGTTCGATGTTATAGTGAATTGGTATCGTGTTAACGGATAAAGGACGTATAATTTCAAAACCATTGATGGAGAAACTCATAGCCAATATTAAGACAATATTTAATAACAACTTTAAGAATCCCATGTCGATCCTTGATTGTTTCATGTGTCTACAATTTTTCGTTGGTTTATAAATTAAAATTTTAAAAAAGAAACAAATAATAATGCATTCCAAATTATAACTAATTTATTTATAAAGATAAAAAATTGGGAAAAAATAATTTTAATTACTTTTATTAAGATAATCATACATAAAATCTAGTTTGGGAAAATTATGAATTCCTTTTTCTATTATATATTTGATATTGAGTATATTTTAATGCACTCAAAATTAATTAATCTTATGTTATTCTTACAATAATAAAACGGGCATATAGATTTAAACGCGTAGTTAGAACGCAAAAATCTTTATTCTGAACGTTCTTCTCATAAATTGATAAAAGTGACCCTCTTCTTATAATAAACAAACGTTTTGACTTCCTTCCAAGCCACATTATCAGTGTACAATGTTTCTGATTTATTTCTCAAATCCCTTATAAAGAAGTAATGTGGAAGTAATGTTTGTTATAAGAAGAATGTCACGTCTATCAATTTATAAGAAGAACGTCCAGAACGAGAATTTTTTATGAAAAATTATTTAAGCGAATTATTAATTATTAAAACGAAATTTGAAATTAAAATAAAATTAAAAATTAATAATGTCTTTATTTAACGAGAATACTAATTTACATTTAACGTTAACATTTAACTTCCTTAAAAAAGTAATCTTGAATTTCAAAGAGCTCGTTTTAATCTTACTAAAATTTTTGAATATAAGTTCGATGTTGTTACTTTAATATTTACTGATATATTTTTCAGTTAAACTTCTCGTCTTTATATCAAATATGATAAAAATATGCTAAAAATAAAAAGACGTAAACAATAAGAATCTTATTCGACCATTTATGTGAATACATAACCAATAGTAGTAAAAAAAAAGTACTTAACGGTCGAAGCTGGATCTTAGAGATGCTTAAATATAAATTCGGTGTGAATATATGAAGCTACGAATCTATAACTGCGCGCAAAAAGAGTTTTAATAAAAAACCGTCACACGATAACTCTACAAAAAATGACTATGAGGAAATTAAACTGCGTTCATTGTATATGTTTCTTTAAATAATTTGTGTTCGATTTGTAATTCTGTACGTTATTATCTACGTTTTTTTAAAATAATCTATTTAAATATTTTACTTTCAGATGTTTACCTCGTGCGATACGTTATCCTAATAAAATTACCATTGAATTGTACTTTCTCATATAACCACAATTAAGTTGGTCAGAACGGTTATTAGAATCATTACAAATATATTGGTGCAATAGCGAGTTGTCTTATCGTCTCGAGAGATCACTCTAAACTGATTATTGAGCATGTTCGTCAGATACCATCTAAAGGACGGTAGTGTTGTGTAAGCAATTTTTGATTTACTTTCTCTATTTTAATTATATATAAAGTGTTCTAGTAGAAACAAACGCTTGTTTACAGAATCTGCTTTTTATGAGTGTACTTAGTTAATTATTATGAGGATTTGTTTAAATAAATTTTCTCTTTTTCAAAATCTCCAAATATACTCGTATGATACTCTCAATCAGATATATTAACAATTATAAAACTTAATTACTTCTTTCTGTATTATATTATCCAATTTATATAACAGTTTACATATATTTTATATATCTTATATTATCTATATATAAAAAAAATTCGTGTAAATTTAACATAAATGTTTCATGTTATCTTGAAATATACAGCACAACTCTGCTTTAAATTTTAAGGGGATGCTAAGTATATTAATTAAATGTATTAAGTTTTTAACTTTTTTTAGTATAAAATCAACTGCACCATCTCCTAATTTTGCGTCTATTTGTATCATATAAAATGATTTTTTATTTTTTATTCTGTTCAGTCAATTCGGAGATTTTTATGTGATGTACTGTAATGTCGATAATTTGGTCGGTAAATAGAGTTTAAATCTTCACTAAAAAAGAGTTTATATCTTCGCTAAGAGGATTTAAACCTTTATCATAATAGTAAAAACACATTCTTTTTTGTTAAATTCCTGGTGATTGGTAATATAATATTTGTATTATTTCTAATGTATTATAGGGAATATAAAAAAACTATTTTAGAGAAACACAAGATTCGAAATATTCAATAAATTTTATTTTGTATATTTTTTTATATTATACTAATACTCACATGTGTTTGTGTATAAGCATATATATATATGCTTACACACAAATGTGTCATATATACATATGCGTATGTGCATGTGTACTCACACTCACACTCACACTCACACTCTCTCTCTCTCTCACACACACACGTACCCACGCACGCACGCACGTACACACACACACACACACACAAAATAAACATATATATATATATATATATATATATATATATATACAATTGATGTTCGAATTATATTGTCAATTACGTCATTTTCGCTTAAAAAATTTAGAGATATACTTTCAATTCTTTTTTTAAGTTTCAGTATTATCAATATACATTATTCATGTATGATAATACATACATATTTCTGCAAATGTAATAGTTTTGTACTGTGAATATCACGGATAATCATATTATGTGAATTGCATCATAAAGTATAAATATTATTTCCAATTGCAAATATGTATAAATAAATTAATTTAACGGCATCAGTTTCCTAAGACTTTTATCGTAGTAGAGGAATTTGTATATGATTTCTTTCGTTGGTTCGCGCTTTACTTTCTGATATTATCTTGGAATTAACATTAGTAATACTAATCGGCTCCTTTTGCTTGGATTCAAGAGATTTCATATATGCAAGGAAACACGTCCAGATCAAACTGCATATACTGACGTATACTACACGATTTCGCTCTGGAATTAAGATGAAATTGACGGTTTGGAGAATTGGCCATACGCAAATAGCAACCTAGAAAGAAAATAATCTCGTGTTAATCCACTTAATTTCAGACTTGAGAATACATCTATCGAGGATATGATACCTTGTATGTTGGCCAAAATTTAATTTTGACCTCGTCAATGCATTCCGAAACTGGCTTTAATTCAAGAAGACTCATGCCAAAGAAGAAGGAACACATAGCTGCAGGACCATATGTAACTTGTTCAATCAAAGCCTGCGATTATTATTCAATTATTTCATTGTTAGTTAATATTCATTGAGCTGTTTTTTATTTTCATGAATAAATTAATTTACTGTACAATAATATTGAATAATATAAATTATTCAATTTTCGTTAATGTACACCTTAGTAATCGCAGACTTTAAATCCGCTTTCGGCCAGAAGCGAGATGCACATTTCAGCCAGCAGTATAGTGTAGGAGCTACATAAAGACCACCGTATAGACTGAATCGCACAGCTTCCATGTAATTAAATTCTTCTTTGCCCGTTATCTTCTGTTGCAAAAAATTTCCAATTGGCCATATAATCGAGTAGGACGCCATGCCTCGAACAATAGGATACTTCTGCGAGATCTCACGGAATTTTACGAATATGATCCTCATTTTCGGTACTTAAGCTACGAAAATGTAAATAAATATTTGCAATTACTATTTTTATTATATTCATAAAAAATTATAAAATCAATACATATTACATTACTAATATACTATATGCTAGCTAATTCTAAATAAACTTTGATTTTCAAATGAGCCCTGTGGACTCGGAAATAAAGAAAACAAACATTATCGACTGTCGATATACAAATATTTATATAATTTTTATACAAAATATTGATTTAAACTCATATTTTATTATTATTTATACAAATGTTTTAAATACTTATAACGCAACACTGTCAATACATAGCTACATAAATTTATTAAAATTTCAATAATCATACAGATTTCTAAAGTTCATAATTTTTTTGTATTTTATGAAAATTAAATCGGAATTCGATAAAAAAAATTAAAAATTAATTTTTAAACAGTGCACTAAAATTATGTATTCAGTAATCTGAATGCATTTCAGGAAGATCGCATTTACTTTGGAATTTAATGTTTAATTTGGAAAAAATAGTAGTTTCCGAAATTAATATTCTACGTGTAATTTTAGAGCAGTATAATCACTCTCTTGTTTTATAAATCTTCAATTAAATCTTGATCATTTTAAATCGACGAGCAGAATTAGAGCAAAATAGGCTATATAATTCATTATTCCTAATCATTCCTCATGATGCAAGCAGACTACTTCCTTATCTCTAATCTTTCATGTCAATAAACAAAAAATATTTGTATTTACGTACTGTAAGTTCGTTGAATTACTTGATAAATAAATCGTAGATCAATTTAATCGGAGTTTGATCAAAATCATCAGTTCATCTGTAGCGTGGCTGCAAACAATTGATTTATTTTTAAAAAACTCCAATATAGCAAGTGTTCCACAACTTTCATGATACATTACGTCATAATTGTCGTCCCATGAAGCATGCGGTCGCGCTATAATTGGTTACCTTCCGTGGCGTTACAGAGGAACGAGCGTAGAGATACCGAATGATACGACGATCCTTGGAAAACGCTGCGTTCGATTTTGACAGGCTGCGTGCGTATGCGTCACCGAACTTGACCGTTGCATTTGGAGATTTCGCGTGACTCTCGCTACGACACGACTTGAACGACTGATCAGACTGACTGTAACCAAATACCCCTCCCCGACCCCCGACGTTGACGGAACACGTGTTGACGACTGGCGATGACGAAATCAGTCGATCCATACTTATCTGTCCTTGATATACGTCATCCGTCGATACAGGCACTTTTTCGTTGAATCGCGTTGCACAATCATCCGGCCGCTTGTTGCGAGCTTTCTGGTAATACAGAGCTCGAGAGGAGTCGATAATATTGGTATCCCACAATAGTAGGATGCGTGCATATATAATTATAAAAAACGAAATATCGAGTTTTTGCAGTCGTATATTCAGACAATATAATCAGACATGAGAGCTGTATTATAAAATACAATTGACTTGATCTTGCAATAAAGATATACTGTACATAAATATAAACTAGAACTATGCATTGCCAGTAAAGATCCAAATATATCAATAAA